AAGAGTATAATCATTGTTACTCGAAACGCACTCGTAAACCGAGGGCCGTAACAAGGTCAATTGCATCATAATGTCAATGTTAAAACAGATCACATAATATCCATATCTTAACTATGTCAACACGAGTGTGTTTATAATCATCTTAACAGATTAAAAAGTAGAGTTTAATAATCCAGTTAAGTCACCATGACTCACCGCCGCGGTCCGCCTAAATGCACACACATATACGCCCACCCTAACACCGTCGACAGAGTGTAAATTGAATTTGATTCGTGTATTTCTCATCTATTCACAGCACTTTTATTTTATTTTTATCCCTTTCACTTCCCTTTCGTCATTCTTCGGTTTAATCTCTACGGGCCGCCACCGGGGTCCACCGTTCGATAGAGATTCATATCACAAAAGTAGGTGTATATATACTATAATATACCTATACAGGGTGTAACAAAAATATTGCAGGTCCTAGAAATGGGTCACTCGTGAGGCAATTTGGAACAAGTTTTTCCTTAGCAGAAATGTCATCCGAGGTTTTGTTAACGAGATATTAACGAAAAACCCCGACCAATCAGAGCGCGAGTCTGGCCGAGCTCTGATTGGTCAGAGGTTTTTCGTTAATATCTCGTTAACAAAACCTCGGATGATATTTCTGCTAAGGAAAAATTTGTTTCAAATTGCCTCACGAGTGACCCATTTCAGGGACCTACAATATTTTTGTTACACCCTATATAATATATTTATATATATTTATGTATATAATATATGTAAGTGCATTACAATATGTAGTTAGAGAGATCATCACGGTGGTCTCGAGGATGGCGGGAACGGTGGATCCCGTTGGAACTCGGGCCGAGTTCGAACATCAAAATCGCCTCTAAAATATAGTAGCGTGTAACTACACTTCGAAAAATTGACAGTGACGGGCCAAACAGCGTGCGAGATTATCGTACATAGGTAATAAGTGTTTCCATTATGTTTTCTTCTTCTTCTTTTTTTTTTTTCGTTTCCTTTAACAACGTACGTAAATGCTGTGACGTGTGTGTCCACCAGCAAGGTGTGTAATATGTGTGTTCTTTGTGTATGTGTGACGTCTGTCTCTCTGTTTTTCGAGGTTAAGTAAAATTAACGCTAGAATCGTATATTAAGCGATCCGTGGAACGGTTTCGTACCCGAAGCGACAAGTGTGAAACAGTATTATAAACCATCAGGGCTCATGCGAAAAAACAGTATTTTTTTAACCCCTAAGATTATCGCTAGGCTGCGGATCTTTATGCATACAAACCGACAAGAAGAGGAATTCAAATGTAATCTGATCGTCTCTCGTTTGCCAAAGTGGACGATAAAATTTTGGGTCGTGCCTCGAAAGGTGCCTGGGTCCGTTTAGACCCTACGTATCGTTTACTTTAAAATGTATTTTCTCGAGAAGCTCCAGTATGTTTTAGCAGATCTAACAGAAAAAACCCTGCTGGATGAAATTAGTGAAACAATTTTATACATGCTCCGGTTGTCATAAAATGATCTATTATATTATTTCAATTGCAGTCGACTTTAAAGGAAAGGGGTGTTTACCGTTGTATTTTTATCTGTTCGACTTATTTACTATAAGAGACGACAAGTGGTGTAAACACTCTGTTATCCATTGTAGATAAAGCTCTTGGAAGCTCGGGTCAAAACAGACCGAGGCGTCATCGTCCGGGCGTTAAACCTTCTTGCACATTTCATATTTATCGTATTCTACTCGCACGTATATTACAAATGCACATATAAAATCCGCAGTCTAATTAGTAAATTTCATTTAAAACACGTCTTGTACAGTTCCATATCTCCAGTAATTATGTTTCTTTTAAAAAGAACTTGAGCTGAACGAAGTAACTTCTTTATAATTTCATCTTTCCCTTCTTAGGCTAGGACTCCCAATTTTCCAGCGAACGGACAATCTATTCGCATTTATCCTGTTCTCCCCCCCCCCTTTTATCTCATTCCATCGATCATACGAGTCGGTGGTGCCCCCTTACGCCCTATAGAATTTCAATTTCCTGAGTTTTATATAGTTCCTTTCTCTATTCCGCAACCTCTCGTTCCCGTTAAAACTCTCTCTTCTTTGTAACATCGAAAAATTGATACGACAGGCTTTCAGGTACAAAACAACAAGTATAGACACTCCGAACCCACCGACCACACGAGCGAGCTACATATTGACGGTTGTAAAGCCAGAAACTTAACCTCCAAGACGCATCTCGGAGCGAAGTTAATCCCAATTGACCCTTGATTCACCGAGCGACCATCGAGTTAAACGATACCCAGCCACAGCTTTACTCCCCCCTAACCCATTTCTGTTTCCACGTCTTTCTCTTCGTTGCTTGGAAGCATAGAATTCGTTCTGTATAGGACTCGAGGTAACGACGAAGCGGTCTCGTCGTTTTCGGTTCGTACGCTAAGATTTTTCAGAAAGCTCTTAAAATAGTATGTGGTGTGTCGCCGGTATACACGCAGCAGCACGAAGAAAAAAAAAACAGAATAGAAAGAAAACACATATTCGAGATCAAGCGGCGCTCGTTTCAAGCGTGTGGCTTCCGGTTGTCTTTATTTTTTTCCTATCTCTCTCGTTCCCTTTAGTTTGTCCCTCTTGGCGCGCAGAGAATAGAACCGAAAAGGAAAGGAAAGAAAAATAAAAGAAACAAGAGGAAAGAATCGAAGACAGTGAAACGGTACGGGCGCTATAGTATCGCGGTTCGTGGTTCCGAGAAGTGTATACGCCAAACGAGAGTCGAACTACGATTCTCAATTGTCCCGGTTTTTACATCGCTACGTTTAAATTGACTACTTCATTTTTCCGAGAAAGCCTAACCCGCTAGTTATAAAATAAATCGCAGCTCTCGACTCTGCAATCAACGATATCCATATATACACAGTGGGTAAATAAAGTATTCGTACACCCTATAAAACGGAACAACTCTTTGAAAATTGGACCAAGTGACTTGAGTTTCTTTGTGAACTTAGAAGGATTAGTGCACGAAATGAGGTGTTAACAAAATGTTGAAAAAGTTGCAATTAGTCGGAATCGCGAAGAAAATAGTAAAGGTCGCATTTTGTGACTTTTTTATCTGAGATTGTAATGAACATTTAACAAACACATTGCTTAGATTTATGTTACTTATATGCATGCTGAAAATTTCATCGAAAACGGTTAACATTGTTATGAGATACAAACGGTTCAAAATGTTAAAAATCGCAGTTTTTGGAGACTTTTGACCTACAACTGTAGTATATCGAGAGATTCTTACATCTTTTGATGTCTGTTACTAGTTTCTGTATTAACCGATTTCAATAAAAGTTGTAGCATATATATAACTGACATAAATCTTCGAAATGTATTTTGTTAAGTTTTCATTACAGTCTCAGACAAAAAGATTGTAAAAAACATTTACTATTTTCTTCGACATTCTGAAAAGCCGAAGGTTCTGAAAATGATGTGTAAAAAAATTTTTCGAAAATTTTTTTACACATCATTTAGTAAACCAATCCATCTAACTTCACAAAGACACTCAAGTCACTTGGTCCAATTTTGAAAAAGTTGTTCTGTTTTAAAGAATGTATGAATACTTTTTTTACCCACTGTATATAGATCGTTAACTCTATTCACTTAATTAATTACTTTTTTTTAGTTTTAAATATACGTTTGTCTAGTCTTGTATTTCTTAAGGCAGGAATTTTTATATATACAACGTTTGTCCTTGTTGGCCTTACACCTTTCGTTTCTTCTCTTTCTCCCCCTCTCTCTCTCTCTCTCTCTCTCTCTCTCTCTCTCTCTCTCTCTCTTTCTGTTCTCGCAAAACCGTTCAAGGCTCGCCTCGTCGGTGGACTCGTTTCGGACTGGCGGGAGTTCTACGCGGATTCAAATTACGACGCGTGCCCCTGTGTCTGAAACGAGCCACCTCTGTTCCACCTATTTATGTTCCTATTTATTGACATGTACAGGGTGACTCTGAACACCTGTCACGAGTTCAGTTCAGTGTTCAATGATGACAAAGATTCCGTATGTTGATTTAATGACACCAATGAGAAAATCTATTGTTAAAGACACACACAATTTTTCTTAAAGTCATCCCCCCCCCTTTTTTGTTTGTTTGAGGCTTAAGGTGACCTTGAACATCGAAGATCAAGATGAACTGAAATGTATACCTTACGATCGACCTTGAGATGATCTTCACCTTAAAAATACTACGACGGTAGGTTAAGTTGTGATACATGGATCCTTATCTCAAGTGGGTATTTGTATCACATCTTATATCATGTTTGTACACGCTATGCCTCCTCTAGATAAGTATAACTGTAGTAGTAAATATAGTGACACCTACTGTTACGGGAGGATTATTCGAGAATAGTTTAACGTGTAATGGAAATTACACCGGAAAAATCTAACTTGTCTGAACATTCGTTACAATAAACACAGGTTTCGATACACTCGCTACGCTACGAACCCTCTATTTTTAACATGAAGTGTGCTTCAAGGTCAGTAAAAAGTGTGTCGTTCGCATGCTACGAATCGTTGAATGAAAAAAGAAAAATCAGTCGAAAAAGCTGCTTTAAAAAACATACGTCTAAAATGATCCCCCCCTTACCCCGGTCTTCGCCATTAACTCATCATTACAAATCTTGTCAACATTTTCACTGATTATCGAGGATATCTTATCGGTAACAGGTCACTCAATTCACCCCGCAGAATCTCATCACCGTAAAAATGTACACCCTAGATTGATATTTAGTTCCTAAAAATAGCCAAACCATAAATGGAGATCCATGGCAAATCATTTCGTACCGTAAACGATACTTTCCCCACGTAAATGTAATTCATTGTAAAAATATTCTCGGACGAGTCCGCGTGCAAGAATATACATACGATCCACTTATTATCTCCAAACGGAATACAAACGTGATTACTCGTCGTTAAATCTCTTTAAAAAAGTATATTAGCACCATAAATACATGGATCCAGCCCCCCTCCCCTTCAAGGTCTAACCTCTTTTCGTCAAGAATCACGATAACGCCCCCCCCCCCATTTAGGATTGCACAAATCAATAATGCACGTACGTTTGTAGATATATTGTTAAAGGTTAGCTGCGACGACAAAATGATTTGCCAGAGACCCGCGGTATCACCCACTTTGATATAGAATCGATTGCATAGCCTCTAACACGGGACAAACATTAAACGTTCCGTGTACGGTTCTCCGTTTTACCGGTCAAAGGCTTCACCTCCACGTCTGGCTCTTCTATGGCAAGAGGCGCTTGCCTGGTGTCGGGTACGTCCACGTCCATCGCGCTTTTTGATCGGCTCGCCGACTCCGTCGAATCCTGTGTCTGATTCGACGATCCCGTCTCCTCCAGGTTCGTCGACTTGGTAGGCTCGGTGGGCGACGAGATTGACGACGGCGTGGCCATTTCGGAATTCGGAGCGGTCCCACCGTCATCCCCTTCCGTCGTGTTATGGTGGTGAGGTTTCTCTTCGAACACTGTAACATTTCAGATCACAGAAACCACTTAGAAAAACCATTCCGTTACACATAAACGTTAAAGATATTTACTTCTAAAATAATATTTATAAATTATCTAGATGTTGCAGGTATTCGTTAGTTAAAGTCCATTGGAGTCTTAGTACATAATCCTGGAGAGGTCATATACAGAATGGTTCTTCAAGAAAAATTGCCTGAAGTCTCGCAGACGCCACGGTTTTATGGCAGGCACCACGTGACCACTCCAGGGTTAGAATATACCAGGATAGTGGGTACTTACATTTGTCAAGACTGATAATTGACCCTACGAATTCGTTCACCGTGAAAGACGGTGCTTGGTCTTCTAGTTGTCTTCTCCTCCTAACCAGCCACCAGTCCACGAGGAACAGTGCCAGGGCTAAAATCTTAATCCCGGCACAGAGACCAACGTATCTGAAAGAGATCACAATGTGTGTTTTAACGACCTTTTAGTTCTTTTCAAAGTTTGCAAAGAATTCGTTTGAATGGTGAAGATCGAAGGAGAAATTCGAAAGAACAAGAAATGTGATCGAGGGTGGGGTATGTATATAACCTATAATAGTATAATGGCAAAACATAATTTTGTACCTGTATCTAAATTGTTCGATGTCATAAAGCAGGCAGCGGCCGCCCTTTTCTCCACAGGTGCTTTTCCAAAGCAAGCACGTGGAGTCGATTAAGTTACCGAATAAAATTGGAGCAGGTATATAACCGAACAGTCGAAAGATAACGAACTGCATGCCCAAAGCAAACGACCTTTCTTCTTCCGAGACTGACCTGCGTAAATAAACATATTGATGTACAATATTCGCAATAATAATAGTCTTTATTATAGTTGCACAATTAGGGTATAATCGAGATAAAAGGGAGTGGAAAATAAAATAAGTAAATTATGAAATAGATGTAGATGGTACTAGGAAGTGAAAAGAGGAACTACAAAGTGTAAAGTTAAGATTGTGAAACCATACAACTGTGTGTCGGAGGAAAAATTTAACAGCGTTACATACCTCAACACTATCATCAGCAGTGGCATCTGAGTGATAGCGACGATGAAGGTCATAAAGAAAAGTAAGATTAAGAAGGGGAATATAGTCCTACACGGTGAAGTACATGGGCCAGCAGTTGCTACCGGTACCACTGTCACTTCCGCGAATTCTGGAGCCGCTGGTGGCAACATTGTTAAGTTTCCATGTATACCTGTTGAAGCACATGCGAACACGTAAATCAAACATTTTCAAACATAATGAAACATAGAAAGAAATACAGTCGGACGTCGATTATTCGAAATGCAATAAAGATTATTGAATGATCCAATTGAAACATGCACCGTAATCACTACAACTGTAACATATAAACACTATAAAACAAGTACTACAATCAACTGATGACAGGTTTGTTGCATACGCAATGCTTACAGATTTACGGAACATAATAAACCAAGCCAGAACAAATAAAGATCTTAATTTCCGTTTCACCTTTCAATACTCTAATGAAAGGGGGGCACAAGTAGCCGAGTAATTGGGTTCATGAATTGTCTGTCTTTTCAGAGAATTAACATCACTCTGAGAATTTCGAGCAATCGGTGTTCCGACACGGCGACACAATGACACTACTCACATGCACAGTTAGTGAAATTCGATTTCGAACTGAAGGCAGTGCAGCCCGCATGGCATGGACTGAAGTAGGTCAGACCGTTGTTTCCGCAGACGGGCTCGACGTCCGTCATTCGACACTCGCAACCGAAGTTGCACGCGGCAGTGAGGTTTACTTGAAAGGGCTCGGGGCCCTTCGTGCTGCTGTTAAAGTACGGAATAGTGGTCCCAGCCATTTTCACGTTGTCGCAGCCGAGGAAAAACAGGAGGCCGTAACAGACCAGGCATATGATGTTCGAGACGAGGACGAACTGTACCGCCCCCTTCGGCCTTAATTCTAAACGTTTGAGCATACAACCGCCGAAGAATATCCCGATGCAGGCGCCCGGTATAGCTATGGAACCGGTGAATACGCTGGCTTGGCTCTTTCCCAGGCTGAACTGGGTCTCTAGGTACTTCGGCAAGAACACCACGAAACCGGAAACGATCACCAGCTCCATGCACGCTCCCAGACACGTGACCACGTACACAGGATTGCAGACGAGCCTCCACATGCTCCTGGGTATATCTGGAACAAAGAGTTTCGTTCAGATTCCACTTCGAGTTGATTCGAATATATTTGTATGCAGGACCGGCGCTACCATTAAGGCGTTCTAGGCAGTCGCCTAGGACGTAAACCATGAGAAGGCGCAAAAATCCAGGCGGTCTTATTGAACGATGCAGCAGATATAATAATAATAGCATTTCGTTGGCTACAGATTTGACGCAGGATCTGTTATAAACCATTTGCGTGCAGATTGGTGGCAGATCCTGAAATATTACCTCTACGTTAACTATGTTGCAGTATCTGACGCCAATCTGCTTCAAGATTCTGCCAGCTGATTCCGCCTGCAAAACCTTAGTCAAATGTGGAAACAGATGGATATGGATTTGTAGACAGATTTCATCACTATCTGCTGTCAATCTGCACGCAAATGGCCATCGGGGTTATTTCCAAAAACTACAATGGACTTTAAATTTATATAAAATATGATTTTGGTTATTCTCTTCTTTTATTGAGGGTATAATTAATACCTTTCTTCTACTTCTACCACCTCTTCTTTCATTAAAAAAAACGTGAAACGATTTTGAGTGGTCGTGTTAATTGGAACACCCTCTATACAAGACCAAAACAAAGTATTCAGGCGAGTGTTTCGTACCTTTCACGTCTTTGCCGTACCCGCTATCGTCAAGCTTCTCTTTCTTCGGCTCCTTGCACTGTTCTTTCTCTTTCTGCGACGACGATTTGTTTTTCTCGATGATTCGTATTTTCTCTTTTTCGCGTTGCAGCGTTTTTGGGAAACTGAAGAACGGTATCGCGACTAAAATTAAGAGCAGGCCGCAGAGCAGAAATCCACCCCACCACATGCCCACCCATCTGTGGTCGCCTGGATCTGTTCGAGAAAATTCGTTTGGTGTATCAGATGTAAACGGTGTTTCAGAAGTAAGTGGACACAACTGTGCAGCCGCGTCAAATGAAAAATTTAGGAATAAAAAAAGACTGCATTGTAATATTTCTGGAAATCATTTTTTTACTGTGACAGTATTCTTCAAGGTTTGACAACTGTATTAAGCTTCGATGTTAAGAAGTTACTATTCGTCCTGTTATTTACTTTTTAAAAACAAGAGCCTTAGAACGAACAATTTGGGATTGAGAATCTTTCTGGAAATACTTAATTTTAGGCTTGACCATTTCTTATCTATCATAGTATTCCACAACACTTGACAATTTTGATTAAGCTTCTATGTTAAAGAGAGTAGTGTCCTTCCTATTATTTACTTTTCCAAATAATCTGCCAGAGGTTGGCCACTTATCTTCGAAACACACTACATATAAATACAAAGAAACGGTTTGATTGGCTACCTATGCTGATAATAGTTCCAGAAAAGGAATCCATGTGAAATGATAGTAAGTAAGCTCCAAGAAGGAAACCTAAGACTGGTCCAAAAGCTGCCATGCTGTACATACAACCTGGAAGAAAAATCAGTCATGATGTATACCTTCTACGGTTTCGAATTAAGCATATATTTAGTTAGTATTGTTTCCTTACCAATATACAAAGAAGCACTCTCTGGACGTACGTGGTCGTCTATGTAAGTAGTACCAAGAGTAAACAGAGGAGAACCACCACAGCCTAATAATAACTGAGCAAGTACAAATAACATAACAGGGCCAGCGGTGGATGGAGATCCTTGAATGCAATTATCGCCTCTTAAATTATTGTGTGGTGCCAGCGGAGGAGATGATAATCCAGACGACAAACGACCTGGGGAGAAAATCATCTTACACTCTGTGTCATCCGCGCGTGATGAGGAAAGATATACATATTGACAGCACTTGGGAACCAACGAAACTAAAGCGACACACCATCTCAGGCGAACAGTTTTTACTTTGAACAATCTCACAATTAAACTGTGTCGTCAAAAATATGCAAACTCTGAGATACAGAATTGTTTTATATTTAAATTAGATTAACTTATGATTCAAATAGAATAATTTAGATATTCTGTGTAATTAGAATAATTAGGAGTAATACATGTATAAATTATGATTCAATATATAGTATATTAATTTTATTTTAATTATTTCATGTATAAAGTCTGATCACAAAGAATGATGAGGAATGATCTTTTAAAGATTAAAGAATTACCGTTAAATTCCTTCATACTGTTTGAACTGGACTTTGAAATCTATCTTTTAGTGACTTGATTTTTTTATTTTTTTTTTTTTTAAATTCTTTGTTATTCTATAACCTCTCTACAATTTGTAATATTATCGAATTTCTATAACTTATCCTGCAATCTTTTCTATTCTATAAATCGGTATTTTCCAAGTCAGTCCATTCGTTTTAAACATATACATACAGGGTGACACATTTAACTTCTTCAGGGACAAAGTATTATGATTCTTTTACAGCTGAATCTATTAAAAATATATTTATGAATATTAATGACGATCAATTGGTAGGTATCATTGGAATCATGCTTGAACGAAAGAAAAACTAAACGTACACATATATATATATATGCCAGTATTCCTCAAGAGGTTAAATCGACCCACTCGAATATCTCCGAAAGTGTTCACGATATTAAAAAATCTCTCAGAAAAAAGTTAAATGTTACCAGGCGGCACACTTTCTGATGTAAATAGCTGTTTTCTATGTCGACGCATAGAGGTCATATAAATGTGAACTTTGTATTTTTAAATGGAATCGTATAATTTTTAATGCACTAATTCGCCATAAGTGACTTACTACTTTATCTAGGGAATAACGAGTAGCACCAAGTAGTGTATTACAAAATATACGATTCCGTTTAAAAAAACAAAGTTGACCTTCACGTGATCTCTACGCGTCCACATAGAAAAAAGTTACATCAAAAAGTGTGCCCCCTGATACCATTTTACTTTCGTCTGAAACATTTTTCGATATCGTCAATAGTTTCAGAGATATTCAAGTGGGTCCATTTAAATGGGACACCCTCTATATTTTTGAGAAGAATGTTCAAGCAATAATTTGGTTGCGTCACTTCAGCTGTATACTATAAATTGGTAATCGTCGAATGGTTATCATTAAACTAATGTTTAAATGATCTTTTTTTTATCAAAAATTTACCGAGTCCCATGTCCTGTTCACGTAAGGACACTCCCCGGCAAATGTTGTCCGAGCTGGAGTTGTTCGCAGCTGTCATCAAATTAGGCTCGGCTGTGAAGTGCGGCACCATAAAGATCATCGATCCCAGGCCCATTATTACAGCGCCTGGAAAATTCGATTTTCATTACGGCCCTGCGAGACGATGTCGTAAGATAATATTAATCCCTTAACGCTCGGGCCTCGTGTCTCGGTCGAACACGCCAGATCTATAAATATGTATCAATGTCTGATCCAAATTATATAAAGCTAGAACCCAGGGGCTTCTTAACGACACTTTTTAACGTCTTCCATTTCGAACGTTCGATTTTAGCCCCGGCACTTGTGAGAAGAAAAACCACCCTACGATCTTAATTCGCTCGCAATTTTCGAAATAAACTACGGCGATGAGTAAAACTTCCTATGGTTCATGATATGAAATTATAAAATGAATAATAATTCCTATGGTACATTTATATGGAATTATAAAAATAAAAAATTATAAAACGAAATTACAAATCTTGAGAAGATAAAGAAAATGGTTTTACAGAATTGATTTCGGAAATAGATATTTATAAGACAACATGTCACTATGCTCGGTTTTTGGAGAACAATGGCGGCCTGCGTAATGGCCGACGTCCTTTTGATGTTTCTCTACAAATATGCCTTGTGGACAAAATTTTTAGAAAATTGGTTTATTCCACTTATTGAATCCGGTAACGTTGCACGAATATTTCGTTTGGTAACCACATTAAAAAAATTACTGATTAATAAATTCTTTTCACTGTATATATGCGTATGTACATATTTATTTAAAGTATCGTATCAAGTATGGAAGAATGTAATTTATTAAATTCAAAGAATAAATCGACAGCTAATTCCGTCACACGATCTGCAATAGATTAGACAAATTCTCACGTAATGAGAAATTGTTTTGCACAATTATCACCGATCAGAATAGGAGTTATTCTATGAGCGGTGACTTAACACTAGAATTACCAAACCCGTCGGAATGACGGATTGCGTATTTCTTATTTTAGGATTACTGAAATTATAATAGTGTTTTAGGCGAAATTTACATTATCTTCTAATTTACTACACATTTTCTGTTACACTATATTACGTTAAATTGTACAATATATTGAGTATATTACTATATTATACAATTTAATTTAGTATAAATTCAGTGCTGGTAGTTCTAGTGCTAAGAACTACGTTGCTCTTTAATGGCGTCACGTGGTCTCCAATAACAAGGCCCCTTGACGGTGTAATTGTTACAATAAAATATTATTTGCTTCTTCGACGGAACGAAAAATCGAACGAACAAAAGTTGTCGAATTTTCAAATTGGATAGGATGAAGCCGAGTGTTAAGGGGGTTGAAAGTGTGCCATTTGATTTATTTACCAATCGCTATCCAAACTGGTATGTGTCGCCGGCTACCGAGGTAGCTGACGAAGATTACGGTAATGACGTTCCCGATCTCGTAGGAGCTCGCAATGACGCCTGACAGGCTGGACGGGATTTCGAACCTCTTCTCTATGGTCGTGATCACAGAATTTATGTAACCTGAACTAAGTGCTTGCTGCAGCGTGACGAGAAACGATAGGAGGAACACGAACACCTGGAAACATCAAGAACATGCTATTTCATGGGTATAGCCAGGGGGGGGGGGCAAAAATATTAACTATTGACACATCGACTGCCACAGTGAAAAAGGCTGTACGTAGGGCTAGTCACACTTTATTTTGTTTTTAAAATCATAAATCGTTGAAAATGTATGCGTTTTGTTAATAGAGGTTGTTGGTCGTGTTTCAAATTATACTGCAATATTAAATATTACGCAAAAATTGTATACCTCTGGGAAGGGAGGGGGGGGGGCAAAATCCAATGTTTTTTCTTGTAGGGGAGGGGGGCAAGTGCCTTGCCTACGCCCATGTACTATTCCTCCGTACACTGAAAGACATTGACTTGTGTCTCTTTAAATGAAACGTAGCATTTAAAAAAATTATAAGAATCGTGACAAGTTCAATGACTGTATATTACAAGAAAAAACACAAATAACATAAAAAAGTCAATAGTTGTTCAAATATTATTATAATTCGTATGAATAAAAATTAAAAAAACATTTCGAATATTTTATTAAGTTTGCCTAATGGAATGAAACAACTTTTATATGAAACATTTTTTCGCATTTTCAATAGTTCCAGAAATAATAGCGTGTGTACACTTAAGTCGAACATACTGTTACAAAATAGACGATGCGCGCTTATAGGGAGGGATAGACGCATTACCACATAGACTGATATTGCAAGAAGCGTTTTGTATACACGTGAGTACATCGCGATTAAACCTTTAAGTGTTTTATTTCATTTTGAAAACGTGCACATGTGTGTGTAATTATTCTTAAGTAATGACGAATATACTCGACAAAAGCAGAATAAATGTATTTGCTGAAAATTGAAATAAATTCTAATAAAACGACAAAATTACTGTTGCGACTTCAGCGCCATCTATCGCCAAATAAAGTCACTGCTTTATCAAACAGCCTTCATACATATTTCATTTTTTTCAAGCGATTTTTTTCTTTATATATTTTCTTTCTTTGTGTTAAAATATTCTAAAATTTGTTAAAATTACGAACATGTGTTTTGTTTTACCTAAATATTATTTTAAATAGCAAATGCAATTTTTTGTTTGCTTTATGACGAGTATATACTCGACATAAGTATCGAAAGGATTAGACAACTGAAATTTCTAATGAAAAATTACACAAAAGGACTTGGTGAGACTGAAGGCGTTTAACGGATATCGAAAAATTTTCCCTTGAAATTGACACACTTAACGGTTCTGCTTATAAGTATCAATTGTACGTAAGGGAGAGTTGAGTAAAATAGGATAGGTACTTAGAGACTTGACGGTTTGGCCTAGGCCACATTGATATATGAGGCTTGATCTTTTCCTCTAATTACACCTCGAATAATGACATAACAGTACACTTTATAGAAATTTTGAGGTGTAGAATTTAAATGGGGCACGAAGGGGTATATTTTATAAGTTACGCGCTTTTTTCGTGGGTGGAGGCATTTCAGAGATTTCAAGGTCACCTTCAATTTTTTAACGGGATGACCCATTTTTTGTACCACAAATCGATAGAGTATCAAATTCTGAGTAAAAATATGTTGACCTTCATACGTCCTAAATGTAATAGTTAACGAGATATTTACAAAATAATTTTTAATACGTACTTACTATGTATCTGGAAGCTATAGGTGCTCAAACTGATGCCCCTCAACTTCAATACAGTGATTATTTTGTAAATATCTCGTTAACTATTAAGTTTAGGACGTATGAAGGTGAACACATTTTTACTCGAAATGTGATAATCTATCGATCTATGGTACAAAAAATAGGTAATACCGTTGAAAAAAAATCAAGGTGACCTTGAAATTTCTGAAATGCTTCCATCCGAAAAAAAGCACGTACCTTATAAGATGTGCCTCTTGATGCCATTTAAGTTCCACGCCTCAAAATTTTCATAATGTGTACCGTTAAGTCATTATTCGATGACGTGATCGAGTTAGCTGGGACACCTTGTATAATGATATGGTGGTATTCACGAACCTTTATTCCGGCGAATCTCTGTATAAAGGCCGGTCTGCAGCTGAGGATCCCACAGTCCTTCGAGTCTGGATTGAACGGCGGTGTTTGCGCTCTCTCCTTCTCCGTCCTGGATCGTCGCGTTCATGGGAACAAGAAACATACGGATCGTTTGGAAATATGTACATTCTCGATAACCGTCGATAAATCGAATTTTTTTTTTGGAATTTAGCGGTTTCACGGAAATTTTCGAAGCATCGAGAGCTCGGTTTCATTTACCATCGATCGAAACGAGACACGCGTAAAGCTGCGTCTACACTATATTTTTGCCAATACTATTATATTCATTCTTAGTTCTATAATTTTTGGGAAAATCTATTTTCAAAATTGCAATGTATAGCATAACACGTCATATCGTAAAGTTATAAAACTTGTTAAAAGAACAGAAAAAGAAATGTTATATAATATGATGTTACATAACAATTTTCGTGCAAAAGGTATAATTTTGTAACAAAGTATAAGAACATGTTATATAGCGAAGTTTTAGAATAATTATTTGTTATGTAACACTGTTTTGCTATAGTGTAGACGCAGCTTAAAGCATTCCATCTTAACCTTCATCCGGACGAAACAGCCTCTGAGGTTCTTTTATTATTTCATAATGAACAATATAATAATATGGATATAATAAATAATTAGACATTTAATGTTACTATTTTACTAAATAAATAAACTGAATTAAAAGAAATAAAATATTTTAGAATTATTAATTTCAGTAATTCTATACTCTGAGAGCATTCGAGGCTCTTTTGCATTCTATCCTGATGAAGGTTAAGGCGCTTTATATGAAATGTCGGATTTTTCGCTCGCTATCTGATATTGTACTGCATTTTAACTGAATTCTAACAGAATTGAAATGATTTTTAAATTTTAAATACACGATGGTTATATAATGCATTCAGTGTCGAACAAAACTACAACAACTGGAGCTTAATAATTCTTTGAAGATTATTTTTTTTTGCATTTTCTGTATAAATCGACGAAAAGTATGGATTTCTTTAAACGTTATTTTCTTCCTCAACTATTGAGAATAATACAGTTATCGTGACAAAATTTAAAGCACCCGAAAAAATTGTTAAAAAAATACATAGGAACTCACGTTTATTAATTGTGAATTCTGAAATTTGAAATGAATATTTCGAAGACAATTTCAGATGTAGTCTCGTCACTGAAAGATTTTCTTATTAAAAGAAATAATAAAACACTCAGTATTTAACCCTTTAAGTGTTTTATGTCATTTTGAAAACATGCACTTGTGTGCTTAATAATTTTTATGTTACGGCGAGTATACTCGACAAAAGCAGAGTAAATGCATTTGTTGTGCAATTGAAATAAATTCTAACAAAATTTTTCCTTTTTTCAAGTGATTCTTTTCTTTGTATGTTTTCTTTTCTTCTAAAATGTGTTAAAATGAGGAATATGTTTTTTTGGTTTACCTAAATCTTACTTTAAATACCAAATGCAAATTTTTTTGCTCAATGACGAGAAAAAACTGCCATCTTTTCATGACGAGTATACACGACATAAATATCGAAAGGGTTAAACAAAATTGTATTCACCGGAATATTACGTCTGGCTTTAGAAAGTTTAGATTTCAGAGATTTTTCATCACCCGAAATTTCCTTTGAAGTAATCATTAGACTGTTGATTTTATGCATTTATAACCTATAGGGCTCTGTGAAATACAATAAAAGACAAAACTTTCACCGAATCCAACGAGTTTTCGATTTTATTCTGAACCCAATAAAATACTTAAGAGGAAGAATAACTTTCTACATTTGCTCCTGTCTTTAAAAATTACTTTAGAAAATGTTATTTTGCATAAAAATCTGCAGATAAATACGCAGAGATGGGCAAACTCATTATCTAGATAAAAAGTTTCGAATAACGAATAAAAGATAAAAAAAAGTATTTCGTCAGTTTTAATTGTTTAAACATGGAAATTTCAATTTTTATAATAAAATAGTACTTCTTTATGAATGAATCGACATTTGTCGAACAATTATTTAATCTCATTAACTGTTTAAAGCCCAGCACGACACCCTTAGATACTGCTGCTTTTTACTGTCTTTTATTCGAATAAAATTCTGCCCAACTTTGCTGGTAACTGACTATCAATAATTTTCATTCATAATGGTCTAGTTATCTACTTAAACATACACTGATCGATAAGACCGACATTTCATATATCCACCGATCGAAACGGTTCGCTCCAAAACGTTCACCGTTGCTGTGAACTATGTACATACAGATAAAAGATTGCATGCTAAATGGTAAATGAGTGTTTCGCGTGCGTTAATGCTGTACAACGGTGTTTCGCGATTAATTACGAATGATTTCTTGTATTAATTGCACAAAAGTCGAACGTTTACCTGTCCACCATGGAAGCACTGGGATTCCTGCTGTGACATTTGATAATAAAATCTCTGAAAAAAGGGCAAAAAAACGAAAAACAAGAAGCATGAATATATCTTGTGCCAAATGATTTAATTACAGTGAATGCGTGTTCGGGGGGTCGAGTTTTAATGAGGTAGGATTATAATCGGTGGAAGAAGTATGGCGACTTGTTTTCGGTCCTATTTCCATGTATTTACTAGAAAATTTTTCGTATTCAACGATCAACCTTTTTGACACATTTTCTGTGACACGAAATGTTTAAATAATCAAACTTAAGGCGGAACACCACTGTGAAACTTACAATAAAATCGATATCTTTTAAATGTATTTTCTTGAAGTTTAACTCTTCGAAACCACTATTCGAAAATTTCAAATAGATATGCGAAGAATTTATAAAGATACAGTGCATTTGAATTACATAAATAATTTCGAACTTTAAACGCGTTTTTTTTTTCGAAACGACATTTTTCTAACTGGCGAGCACGATAACTCTGTTAATTTTTATTTAATCGACTTGAAATTTTGAATGGATTCTTAAAACGGAAGTAAATTTTTTGAAATACACTCAAAAAACTGTCCATTTTTTGCGGATTATCGAACCTTCGTTTTCTAAAGAGTGCTATTTTTACAAAAATTATTTTTTTTTTAAATCCGTAAGTGTAACGTAAACTAATCTTATATAGTTTATAACAAATTTTGTACATTTTATTCTAGGGCTGTTATTACAAAGTTACACATCCCGCCAGCTATCTATGCTTTTTTGTGAGGGATCCAGAAGATTAATCATATATTAAAGTTTCTGCATATTTTTCTGCATAAAAGTTTTATGCAAAAACTGTAGATTATTCCTGAAAAAAATTCTTAAAGAAGGCTTATTTTCCTGGCCGTCACAGTGGTGTAACCCCTTAAGGATTATTTAACAGTATAATATTAGGTTTAACAATAAATGATCCATTGTCTTTTGTTAAATTCAATTCTTTATTTTCCCAACATAATTTGTCCCTCGACGTCACATTGACACAGTGACAAAGATTATAAAAGTCACGGAGTCTCAGCTAAATTTACCTACATATGATAGAACAACATCATTTCTTAGGAAAAAAATGTGTTAAATTGACACGAGATTTCATGGAAATTAGGGGTTAACGCCGTTTTACTTTTTTCAATAGACGTTGCCATTTTTAAAGAAGAAAACGGCACAAAGATGCTTTATATTTATATTATGTTGAAAATGTATTGAAAAACCCTCTATGGATCATTTATTATTATACTTAATATCTGGTGAACATAATGGACGGTATTAAAATTTTCCAGTCGTGTCAGTCTGTTCCTTTTTTCATCAATTCAACGCTGTGACTTGACGGTGAAACGTCATTTTTCCAACTTGACGTTCAAGTTACGTAAAATATTAAATAAAATAATTCTATTTCTGGTTAATCAAGTGTCAGAAAATTAAAACATCAAGTGACGGGAGAAATCTCGACTCGAAGCCTATACCGACATTTATCGTTTCATTAATGAAAACGTTTTACGACACTGTTAAAGGGATTTTTATGGACACTTTGTCTGACCTGTTAATATAGAGTGAGTATAATGAACTCTGTGCTTTGTTATACTTTTTATATTTCTCAGGATAGACAGAAAATCGACAGCTACCTCCAGACGAAGACCGCAGGGGTAGAACATAACTCCATTTTGGTTGATTTTCAGAGGGGTTAGTTTTAGAATACTTTAATGGGTCACAGTTAAAACGGAGGACAAAGACAGAAATTCCAGGCTACAATAGGTGTACGGGGAAGTAACTTGATAAATCCCAATGAAACACAGGGATAATTTGATAAGTCCATAAGAAACTCAATTTTAAAAACTCAATTTAGGAAGTTAAACTTTAAGGGTAACTCAGAAATTATACTTTTCATTCTCCATTAATAGGAGGAAGAACCTGATGAGTCTTTAAGGTTTGTAGAAATCATTGGCAGAATTAATGTCATGATTGTCATGACAAAGAATATTTTTGATACGTATTTAGCGCGTAGTCAACGTTACCGCAGGAGTTAAGGTTTGTAGAAATCATTGGCAGAATTAATGTCATGATTGTCATGACAAAGAATATTTTTGAAACGTATTTAGCGCGTAGTCAACGTTACCGCAGGAGCTCAGCCGGCAGACTCGCGCTCTGATTGGTCGGGGTTTTTCGTTAATATCTCGTTAACAAATCCTCCGATAACATTTTTGCTAAGGAAAAATTTGTTTCAAATCATCTCACGAGTCTAGGGACTTAAACCGGTATGATTTTGATACCGATATTATAAAAACTAAAACGAATACTGAAACAAATTTCGGTATTTTTTCGGGGGCTAAGTGTACCCCCTGACCTTCCCCTGGCTACGTCCATATACAGGGTGGTCCGTTTAAGTAAGGCCACCTAAATGTCTCTTCAAGTTATTACGATGTAAAAAATATTTGTTACGTAATTAATATTCTTTTCCCAAGGTCATTTTTTCGGAGTTATCAAGGTAATCGGTGTTTTTTGACACATAACTACATTTGTTTTTATCGCATCGTGTATCTGATCAAAAAATACCTTCAGATATGTATAATAACATGACCTTGAAATGATCTTGATCTTGGAAAATTAAAGTTTTACGTACAACGTGATGGCCTTACTATGATGGACAGTTTTACCGCAAATGAATACCATATCAATGTTCTCTTGCGTTGAGTAATTGATTTGAAACAGTAGGTATGTGTCAAAAAACGCCGATGACCGTGTTGACTCCGAAAAAAAATATTCTTGGGAAAAAATACTCTTGCCAGATATTCGTCTATTAACACCATGCACATGACGTAACAAATATATTTTGCATCAAAATAACCTGAAAAAGATATTTTGGAGGCCTTACTGAAGGGGACTTTCTCATTCAAAATTGAAAAAAAAGACACTTTTTTTAATATTTCTTTATAAAAAAACTATTGTATTGAATTGTAATAATTCCTTTTGGACGCTATTATATATATTATTAAGAACATAGAGAAATTTTTTCTAGCACTTTTAATTCACCACGACCGCTGTAGAGGGCGTCTTCCAAAAAGCAAAAAATTAAGTAAAAATTCAAACGGGATTCTATTCGTGAAACTTAAAACTAGACAATAAACCTCTAAAAGTTCATAAAACTACCCTCCCTTTTTATACAGGGGTGAATTGCCCCCAAAAAAGAGTGATTTTTCGAATTTTTCGGAAAAATATGTATGAAACGATAAAAAGTACAAAAAATAAAATATTTTAGTGGTTTCTTGTCTAGTTTTAAGTCTCACGAATAGAATCCCGTTTGAATTTTTACTTAATTTTTTACAGGACGTCTGCAAAGTGTCTCACCAATTAAAACGTGCCTTTTGGAAGACGCCCTCTACAGCGGTCGTGGTGAACTAAAAGTGCTAGAACAAATTTCTTTATGTTCATAATAATATATATAATAGCGTCCAAAAGGAATTATGTTTCTAAATATAATAGTTTTTTTATAAAGAAATATTAAAAAAGTGTCTTTTTTTTTTCAATTTTGAATGAGTAAGTCCCCTTAAACGGACCACCCTGTATAAGCATTTCAATCGTGATAGCGAAACGGTTGAAGTTATCCGGTACCGTATGAAGTCACCAATAGGACACCACACGTCTTCCACCAAGAATAGAAGATTCCACGATCGAGCAAGCTTCCGCCGAGAGGGAGCGTCCAAGCCGATGGCGTGTGTGTGTGTGACGAGCGTGCGCAACAATTACAGAATCTGTTTCACCGCGATAAAACGTGTCACGGTCGATCGCCATTGGTAGGCTTTCACTTTCCTGCGTTTTGCAGTCGATAGGATATTTCGTGACAAAGCGTTTCTCGCCCTGTGTATGCAAATTTGAAAAAAAAAAAAAGAACACCGCCCAGGCCAACGGAGATTTCCAATTTCGCAAAGGTAGAAACGCGCGAGTCGTGTCCCGCGTGGGGGGACATCCACACACGCGACCGCAGCTTTCTCCTTCTTCGTCGCGCGGTTTCGTTCAGGTGAATTTAGAGGAGCCCGGACAGAACAGTGACGCAAGGGTGACGTGTGAGACGATTGTTAGTCACGTAATGTGCGGCGCCTCTGCGTGTTAAGCGGCTCGACTTCTCCGACTTTGCTCGGTCGAGAATGGCAGAAATTGAAACGGATTTAGATGGCGAAGGGAACCTCGGTGACACGAAACTACTGATTTTTTTTTTAACTTCCGGTTTTATTGAAATTTTCGATTTTCTTGAATTCCCGGTTTTTTTTAAATTCTGATGTTCTTAGAAATTTCGACCTTATTGAAACTTTCGATTTTCTTGAAATTCCCGATTTTTTTCAAAATTCTGATTTTCTTAGAAATTTCTATCTTATTGAAATGTCCATTTTTTTTTTTAAATTTCCGTTTTCATACAAAATTCGGATGTTCTTAGAAATTTCGAGCTTATTAAAACTTCCGGTTTTCTGAAAATTTCTGATTTCATTCAAAATTCGGATGTTCTTAGAAATTTCGAGCTTATTAAAACTTCCGATTTTCTTGAAATTCCCGATTTTTTTAAAAATTCTGATTTTCTTAGAAATTTCTATCTTATTGAAATGTCCATTTTTTTTTAAATTTCCGTTTTCATACAAAATTCGGATGTTCTTAGAAATTTCGAGCTTATTAAAACTTCCGATTTTCTGGAAATTTCTGATTTTATTCAAAATTCGGATGTTCTCAGAAATTTCAACCTTATTGAAACTTCCGATTTTCTTGAAATTCCCGATTTTTTTAAAAATTCTGATTTTCTTAGAAATTTCTATCTTATTGAAATGTCCATTTTTTTTTTAAATTTCCGTTTTCATACAAAAATTCGGATGTTCTTAGAAATTTCGAGCTTATTAAAACTTCCGATTTTCTTGAAATTCCCGATTTTTTTAAAAATTCTGATTTTCTTAGAAATTTCTATCTTATTGAAATGTCCATTTTTTTTTTAATTTCCGTTTTCATACAAAATTCGGATGTTCTTAGAAATTTCTAGCTTATTAAAACTTCTGATTTTCTGGAAATTTCTGATTTCATTCAAAATTCGGATGTTCTTAGAAATTTCGACCTTATTGAAATTTCCGATTTTCTTGAAATTCCCGATTTTTTTAAAAATTCTGATTTTCTTAGAAATTCTGATTTTATTAAAACTTCAGATTTCTTTAAGAATTCCCATTTTATTGAAATTTCTGATTTTATTGAAATTTCCGATTTTATTACAAATTCTGATCTTACTAAAACTTCTGACTTTCTTGAAATTTTGTTGGTTTTCGGAAGACCTTCATAGAAGTATGCGGCATTTTCTTTTGGTTCTTCAGTGTGAAAACAACCCTCAACTCTCGGATGGGTATGATTGGGTCCAATTTATTGACTGAGTTTTCAGGAAGTTTATCCACCTCAACAACTTCTGATAACTAATTTAACCCTTTAACGCCCAGATCACTAACACGTTGACTGCCACACAGTGAAAAATACCGTACACACATTAAACCTTAAGGCATGTTTTCACCTTCAAGAATCAAAAAGTAGCAGTAAATATTCTCTGGAACTACTATTAAGGTCCCTAGAAATCTGCAACGGTTAAAAAAAATCGAAATTTTCGGGATACCGAAGTTCTCTTGTGTACTCTACGATTTACGGGGAAATGTTTGCAGATGGACTGAATTTTATGTATATTCCGAGCCACACGCTGACGCGTTCCTTTGAGACACCCTGTATATCGATGCTCGAGACACTGATGTTAAGTGATCACACTATGCCAGTGTGTTACACGAAAAGAAATAGGAGAGAAATCTCGCGACCTTGACTTTTCATCGTAACAAATTTTTTTTTAATTTTTTAATATCTAAATGTGTACTAACTTTTGTTGAAAACATTTCTTCGGAAAATTATTGGAAATACCTCAAAAATAGTGGTCAATCTCATTTACATATACTTTGTTTCAGTATACATATTCATTTCTTGTCTTACAGTAGTTTTTCCAAAATTCCCGATATTTCTCAAAATAGGGTAAATGTCCCAATTACTGCCAGTGTGTCCCTAGTACTGCCACTTTATTTATTTTACTGAATAAAAACCTAACGTGTAAAGAATTGCATACAAAAAAATTTATTATTAAATTGAGACTCTTATTTACATAAAAACAAAGACTTATGTGTACTTGTTATAAATTCTCATACAGAAAGTGACGAAATGTATAATACTTTCAACATTTGTTATGTAAAACAAAACACACTTTACAATGAAATTTAAAAAAAGTGTAAAGTTATCATTATTTTTTAGAGAAAATGTGTTAATTTTAAAAAATACTTTCAAAAATGCATAATTCTCCAAGATATTTTAAAACTATTTCTTTTTAATAAAAGAAATGTTAAATAATACTATGTTCCAAACTGAGACGATTTTTAAGTTAAACAACATGTCAAATAATTAAATGAAGTTATGCTACAATCTTAAGGTGGCGATAATTGGGACATCCACCCTAGACAGTGACTTTCAGGACACCCTATATAATTTCTATAACCCTCAATTATCCTCAGCAAGCAAAGCTCAACCTCCAAAACCGATCCACATTCTTCCCATTCTCCATTTTAACCTCGACTTCCATCTCCAAAATCAGTGCTCGAGATCTCTCTCTCCCTCTCTCTGTCCCTCTCTAGACCATGTAATCTCAAGAGTGACACTGGTCCCAGATACTATACAGGGTGTCCCAAAAATATAGGACAAGCCACAACATACATATACCTCATTCAAATACAAATCGAAAAGTCCTTTACCATTTTGTAATCTGAAGCTCCATTTCCGAGATATTAACAGTTAAACGAGTCCCAATCAGCTGAACGGTCGGCCACACTTACGCGCAGCGCAGTCAAGAAGCGCACATGGGCCCAGGTCACTGGCCTTTGCCTCTTGGCTGCGCCTGCGCGTACGTGTGGCCCACCGCTCAGCTGTTTGGGATTCGTTCAACCGCTAATATCTCGGAAATAGAGCTTCCGATTAAAAAACGGTAAAGGACTTTTTGATTTGTATTTGCATGAGGAATATGTATGTTGGGGAATGACCCATATTTTTGAGACACCCTGTATATCGCGGTAACACGGTGCGTGTGACAGCCTCCGTAGTTAGTCAAGACTCACCTATGGTCCACGAGGCCGGAACTCGGATTTCTACTGTGACACCTGATTACGGTGTCGTGAGTCAGTCTGCTTGTGCCGCCGGTCGCCTGCAACGGGTCTGCGGTCTCGTCACCCACGTTTCCCGTGGTCTCCGCGTACAGGCCAGTCATAGCGTACATGCTCTCGTTCCGACGATGCCCGGCATGGTAATTGCTGCCAGACTCGGACCTGGAAACGTGCGAGAACGGCGAAGGTCAGCGGGCAATTTGGAAGCGATCCATTAGATCCCCACACCCCCCTCTCCTATGCCTCGTTAACTGCTGGGTAATATGTGTATCCAATAATTGGGTACACGGTGCAGGAGATTAAAATATACTGAATGGTTTTCGATTCATTTTTCGGTTAATCGACTGGTTTTTACATCGTAGGAATTAAATTGATTACTTGACGTTTCGGATAGGTTGTGTCTACGGCGAATGTGAGTGTAGTATTGTATAGAATTATAATAACAGTACAGTAACTGTACGGTAACAGTATAGTACAGTAATAGTTTGAGAATGGTATGGAAATGGTACAGCAATGGTGCAGCAAGGGTGCAACAATTGTACACTGACAATAGAGCAATAGAATACCAATAATATAGCACTATTGCTATATTAGTATAGCAATAGTATAGCAATAGTATAGCAATAGTATAGCAATAGTATAGCAATAGTATAGCAATGGTATAGCAATGGTATAGCAATGGTATAGCAATGGTATAGCAATGGTATAGCAATGGTATAGCAATGGTATAGCAATGGTATAGCAATGGTATAGCAATGGTATAGCAATGGTATAGCAATAGTATAGCAATGGTATAGCAATGGTATAGCAATGGTATAGCAATGGTATAGCAATGGTATAGCAATGGTATAGCAATGGTATAGCAATGGTATAGCAATGGTATAGCAATGGTATAGCAATGGTATAGCAATGGTATAGCAATGGTATAGCAATGGTATAGCAATGGTATAGCAATGGTATAGCAATGGTATAGCAATGGTATAGCAATGGTATAGCAATGGTATAGCAATGGTATAGCAATGGTATAGCAATGGTATAGCAATAATATAGCAATAGTATAGCAATAGTATAGCAATAGTATAGCAATAGTATAGCAATAGTATAGTAATAGTATAGTATTGAACGAAATAAATGTCCCAACGAAGACTATTTTTGGCGCTTCGAGGCCCCTCATAAAAGGGAACCCGAATTTCTGTTTAATTCTGGCTGCTTTATAACAGAATTGCAGGGTAATCGCAGTTCGCGATGGAACTGTCGCCAGTCGTTTATAGGATGATGTAATGATAAACTCTTTAATCTTATGTTTTTATGAATCGTATGTCGATGAGCACGGTCTCTGGATTGTTTATACAGCAAAGAAGCGAATATCGTTTTATGTGTAAACATGTGTTTCCGTGAGCCAATATCGATTGTTGACCTACGATTGACGAATGTATTATTTATAAACGAAACTGTGTAGGCGATATCACGAAGTATTGAACATTCTGTATCGCAGTAAGCGCAATAAATAATTCATCTTAAAAAAATAACGAAATAGCGCGGGTCCAATGGAAACAATGAAAGAAAATCACTTTTTCTCGGTGACGTTTTTCATGCAAAAAGTATTTTAAATTAAAGATATAAACACGACTTTAGTTCCTACGATAGCGACACTCATAGTAATTAAGAATCTTCTTGAATTTTTTATTCCACCCTAGTCTAAGCTGAGAAATCACCTGCGCCGTGGAGTGTATCTTTCTTTTTCGAGATGTCACTTTCATGTTACGAAAAAAATACTTAAAAATGCTAAAATTATTTCTGCAATTTTTTTTACATTATTTATAAGTAATTCAATAAATACTAACAAGATTCATTTGATTACATATTGTATCTACCGAGGAAAAAAAAATCCCCTAAAGACAGCTTAACCTTTTTCAGCCGTCAAAGTGAAATCACCCCTTAATTTCATTCTTCGAAACACGATATCGCGGCCAAGTGGGTGGGAACCACGTAATAAAACACGAACGCCACGGGAAACAGGAAGTTTCGTTGCTCTGTTGCAAACGCAATTTCTTGGTTCCTTGTTCCTCGTTAACGCGAAAGGGAGAAGACAAACAGAATCCTGGAAGCCCCTGGACGCTCTGAACCTGTACTTATCTAAACATTACACGTCGAGAAACGACTCCCACGCCTTCCAACAGTCGAAGGATCATATTACTTTTCAGCGGGGTAACAAGAGCCTTCCCCCGTGTTATTTGAATTTTTTACCACCCCGAGAACGTATCCCCTCCCGCCATCCCCATATACAGGGTGTTCCACTTAACTCTGCCACCCTTAATTATTTTCTTATTTGTCACGGTGCAAAGAAATAGTTCAGGAGATAGTTAGTGTATTTTAAGGTGGAAATTAGGCTACGAGATTGAAGGTCATTTCAAGGTCATATCTTCTGAGATTTCTCTAATGGTAACGTTTTTTTTATATGGAATGCCCTATCTTTTTGTTTGCCATTACAAAGAGGAGATTAAAACGTATTCAACAATGTAGGACGCTATGGGGTGACAACAGTTTGAACATACACTGAAATAATAATGCGATTATGGCGTTTATTTTATTTCTACAATTCATTTTCCGTAGCTTCCACCTCAACCAAGGTCATTTCAAGGTCATAGTGTGATACATTGTTGGATACGTTTTGATCTCCCTTTTGTCATTAAAAACATTTAAAAGTTTGAAGAATATGAGGATATACCCTTGTTGGTTCTCTTTATGGCCATATCTTCGAAAATATGGACACTTTAAAATTGGCCGTATGAAAATTAATTGAAGTTAACGCTGCATCTAGTTACACTACAAAATTAAATGCTTAAAAAATATCTTTTTTTAACTGAACTAATTTTTATTTTGTATTCATCTTGTCTCCACTGTAAGTACCCGCAAAGCTCAGTCAAATAGCTATAAGATCAACAATTTCAAAAATTTTTAAAAATCTTTCGAGATACGTTTTTATATCGCTAAAGACTATAATCCAAATTTGAACAAAATCCGAAATGGTGATCGAAAAAGTGTTCGATTTCGCGTGAAATGACTCCACTCCAACTGTAATACTGTCCCCTGAACCTAAAAAAGATTGACTAATTTTTTTTTTTAAAAAAAAAAAAAAAAAAAAAAAAAAGAACAAAAAAATTGCTCTGGTTCGCCACTCAGGCGATAAAACTTCGACAGCTGTTTCCAGCATTCTCCAGGAACAAAGGCGACCCGGCCGGGTCTTTAAGTATAGAACGGGACAAGCACGGAAATTCCGTTCTGAAAACGGGGGTGGAGAAATTGGGCGAGAACATCACCTTTTGTGCCCGAAACCGCCGCCGCTCTCGTTCCTCTTGTGGCCACTCTCGGATCGTTTGTGGCCGAAGGCACTGGATATGCTCTCGGCGCGTTTGTGACCGCTCTCCGAGCGTTTGTGGCCGATGAAACCGCCGCCGGACTCGGTGCGTTTGTGGGCGAACATGCTCGAGCTCGAGCCGTTCCTCTTGTGCCCGCTGGTCGACGCCATTTTCTTTTTTCCCCCTTGTCCGACCGCCGTCCCCTCTTACGCGGGGGGTTTCACCACCCGACCGGGGGTTCTCTGGCCTTCCGGTACCCTCCCTATAAAGCTCCTGGAATTACGGCCTCGACGCCGGCATTTTTGGCTCCGCGCTTCCGTTGCCTGTGAACAGAAAGAAGAAAAAAAAACGATTGGTCCACTTGCTTTTAACGACTCCGTCCTGTTTTAACAGCACTTTCATCCCTTTGACCAGAGGTTGGATACTTAAATGGGAAGATTTAGATTTTTTTGATTTTTTTTTTTTACTAAACTGCAATATGCCGTACTGTGGCGGGTGTTTTAATTAAAAATTAACACTTAAAAAATTAGTCTGATAAATATATTCTCATGATGTCTCATATTCTCGAATTTCATAGAGAAAATATGAAAAATGTCTTTGTTTTTTTACATATTTTCTCAGTGAAATTAAAAAATACGAGATACCAGAAAATTTTCACTAAAGATAGAAGAAAATGTTTTATGTATTGGAAAGATCAGTGGGTTATGGAAAATCTTATTGTGTAATTATGGAAATTTATAAAAGGTGTAAGAAAGGATTGTATACCATTTACAGTGGACTCTAACTATATTGCCACTGACCATATTGCCACGCGAAGCACTTCCCTTTCACACGTACTTTCGAGCACACAAATTTCACGATGTTTTCACAATTCCCAATTACACTTTAGAGGAGAGGAAATCAAAAGCGTAAGAACCTTGTAATTTTGGAACTGTTCGCTAAGAATTCAACGAGTAACCTTCGAACTATTGAATGGATTTCAGACAATTCTGGATATGTAGAAATGGCGAACATTGCAGTAAGTCTCCTATGTAATGGACTTTACATTGTTTGGCTCGGAACAAAATATAGACTGAATATCATTTTCACACTATTATTTTAAAACTAAACGACTTAAAACGAAGTAATTTTTACCATCGGAAGGACTAAAAAATTTGATACAGGAAACATGTAATTTTCAAAAAAAGTGGACTTAATACAGTCTGGGTCTGAGGTTCAGACATAAGTTTTCATGTTTTAGCTATTCATGTTTTAGTATTTGCTTTTGAGTATATTTTCTTTGCGATGTTTATAAAAATTCGATTTCGCTATAAATATTTTTCTCAATTGTTTGCTTTTTTTATAAAATTGTTTTTCTACACTTTTGGTCCATCGAGAGAGGCGACCCAAAGTAAGGGTTCGGTCTCTTGGTAGCCTATTAATGGAAATCTGCTTGCTCGTTTAAGGTTAATACTCTTGGAGAACCCTTGAAAATCTTCGGTTAAATATTCTTGAAACTTAATTTTGAACGAAACGTTGGGAAATATTGACGAGAGATTGTACGACTACGATGGCGCTCATAATTTCTTAAAAGCATACATCTATTTTAATCTACTCTTGCGGACTTTTATTGTCGTTTTTGCGTCTAATATAACGAAATAAATAGTTTACAAATATATTTCCTTTTTCTTCCACATGATCAATGTTGTAAGACAACGTATAATATTTTAGAAACTGGGTCTGAATATTTATCGTACAAGTCACCATACCGATGACTTTTATCATTAGAAATAACGGAAATTTCTGACCACAGAAGAAGATTAAATTTCTTTTCACCTATATTCTAAAAAAAAAATGCGAATTTTTATTGACATACATTGCTGTTAGTTTACTGGCTCATAATAAATGTTGAAACAAAGGCACAAAAGGACAGTATGAAGCAATCAAGAAATAAGTGATAGTAACAACAGTAGTAACAGTAATCTTAACACTACCACTGTTACTATTACTTATTTCTTGATACAAAAAAACGAATATAAAATAAAATAGTACAAGTACGTAAAAAAAAAATAAAGTAGAAGAACAAAAAATAAAGTTAAGTTTATAAAATAAAATAAAATAAAGTAAAGTAAAAGAAAATAAAATAATGAAACTAAAATTAACTAAGTAAAATAAAATAGTAAAATTAAAGGTAAGATTAACAATGAGGAAATACGTACAACACATTTATCGTAAACAGTGATCAATGGGCTATTCGAATCTGTTCATTTGTAGCCTATTGCAAAATGACTTTGCCGTATTATTAATTCAGTGTTCGTGACTGCATAGGGTGGAACATGACTTTTTAGTTAAGTCCAACATGTCGCATTGGAAAAATAAATTCGTGTGTCGACACCATTTGACGTAATCGTACGGCCAATTGACATCTCTGTGTTCAACAGTTCAACGAACCTGCTTCTGGTAAGGTCAGGGCCGTTCAGCAACGCGAGTTCAAGCGCTCTCGAGCAGAATAGCTGTGTCCTCTTCGTTACGAAGATAGGATAACTGTATCTACTGCTCTTTGTGACGTCGTCTGTTTGTCCGTTCCATTTTTTTTTTCAGCAAATCGTCGCTTGATAACTCTGAAGAATTGGGAAATACACACGAAGCAACTGAGACTCGTATGCTTTACGTTAAAACTTTTAGGAAAATCCTTCTAATTCTAACAATATTTACTTGCGTAATGTAGGTATTTCGTTCAATTTGATGTATTAATTCATGACATTAAGGTGGCTTCCGCAAATTTTTCATAATTAGAAATTCAATTGAAAATTCAACAGGACATTCTTAAAGCTCTGCCATAAGATTTGTGTTAAAATTATTACTATTAAAATTGTTACCTAAAATTAACTGATTATAACTAGATTGTATAGTAAAGGGTTATATACCCTTATATCAATAAATAAATAAATAAATAAATAAGTAAATAAAAACTGAATTTTTAACAAGCTTTTTCTTAGTTATTTCTTCGGCGACCCAGTCTCAAATTTTTCGAGTGTCCGTATTTCGTTGTAATAAACAATCTATATGAATTTTATTTAATTATCTAGTCTTTCGAATTTGGCACGAACCACCTTAAGTGGTGGATACATACTACCTCGAACGAGCTTCCACGTTTCGGTCGAGGTGACTGCGCGCACAGTTATCGATATTTAAAAAAAAAAACAGGACCAGATCGCGGTAGACAGGTGTCAGACGCGAAATCAGGGTCGGTTACCAGCGAAAACTGGCGCGGCGACACATACATGATCCTCTACCTGGCCTCGCGGCACGGAAGTCGGCCCGCCAAGCAGCCAGTCCGGAACTTTAATTGGCGTCGGATTAATTAATGCACCGTCGCGATTCGCCCCCTCTACGACCAAACCAGCCGACTCCGCGTTTACGTAACCCCGTTAACTGCGCTAGTGAAATCGAAACTTTGGTTGTGTCCGTTGGTCTTGCGACAAAAAAAAAAAAGATTTTGTACGATTTGGTGGTCAGAACCGAAACTGAACGCACTGTTCCTCTCTCTTTCTCTTTAGTTTTGTTTTCTGTCTCTTAGAGTAGAACAGAAAAATATATCGTGAGTTGAAAATGGGTCATCGTGGACTGGTTTCTTGCAAAATTTTGTGACGGTTCACACGCTGAGTATGTTCATTTTTTTTTTTACACTTTATCGTGAAATTCTTTTCACATTGACCTTTACAATTATTTGTTTCTCTAGTGTTGAATCTGAATTTTCGTCAGGTAATTTCTGTTATTCGAATACTCCGTGCTGGTCGAATTATTTGGACACCTCGTACTATTCGAATTATTCGAACATTCCGAATTATTCGATCACACCGTACTATTCAAATTAATCGAAGTGTTAAAATACATAGTACTATTCGAATAATTCGAATAAATTGTTTGTATTCGCAATTATTCGAATAAATTATTTGCATTCGAAATTGTTCCAATTATTCGAATAGTTCGAATATCCGAACACTTACAGTTCTAGTTTAAAGATCTTTTAATTATGTTATCATACGAATAAAACTCAATGTTCCCAGTTATTCACTGAGACAAGTGCCGTTATTTTATACCACGTCATACTCATCTAGGTTTCATTAAACTGATCTTATTACCAGAATTTGCAACACCACAAATTTCAACAGTAGCCGAGTTAATCTTTTCCCAAAATCGCTGAGTGACTTCAAAAAACAAATTCACCCTGCACTCACCTTATGATATGCTGTTTACTTTTCTATTGTGATTGTCACATACTTTACTATACTATATAGATAACAGCACTTGCATTGTTTATTTTAATATATTTTAAAAAGGGTTCATAGTCGCAACAACTAAATTAAATTAAATTAAATTAAAGTAAAGTAAATTAAATTAAAAACTATGCCCCACTCTGCTCAGAACAATATTGCTCCTCTTAATATTACTAATTGCAAAGTTAATAGATACCTATTGTTAACTTCATACTCAGAAATACGTGACAGATTAAAAAAAGAATGGATCGATTCGTCATAACCGATCGGGAACGATTAGATGAGCTCATTAAACCGATCCGTAGTTCCTCTATACTGTTCGCTGCGACACGTGGAGAATTCCTTTTTTCGCGGCGTTTTTTTTACATTATCGACCGCGCAAGACCTTGATTTCGTTACCGATGAAAAATTGAAGGAGGTACCGTTGCGCAGTATAGACAGCTAACGAATTCAAAGTCAGGGATACATTGCAAGGATCGCCGCGGGTATGGCAGTAAAGGTCGATTTTCACTGGTACACCTTGCCTGGGACGAATAATCGTCTGTCGCATATTGATCAAGTAATTACGTTGAGTCATCGCAATATTCTAATTTACATTATTATTACAATTGTTCAATTTTTACTTGTTACCGTCACGGAATGCCACTGTGTTTAGCAATATTTATAATTTCAGAACTGCAGAAACCTAAATGGACACAGTTTATCATGACTAGACTGCGGATTTATATGCAAATGCACATTCATGCATATTGAACTAAAATTGGGTTACACATCAATTTCCTTTACTAAAGTTGTTATTGCGTCCAAAATAAAGTAAAACTGATAGTGGTCCGAGTTAATATTTTGTCGTCATTATTTATAGAACATTCGTATTTGAGATGAATGCATGAAATATTAAATTCAGTTTTCTCAGTTTACACACTAGTGGAGATAGAACAATTTAGAACTAGAACGACGATATGTATTTCCAACGAACGATTTTCAGGCCGTGGGGCGCAGTGTATGAATCCACCTTAAACCATAGTCGGAGCGAGTACAATCAGCTGTTGATGCTTCATCGACTA